TCTGTTCTGATTAGATAGCACCATCACGTGAATTGGTGCTTTTTTGAGGTTCAATGTTAATTCGTCGCGCGTTTTTGAAAATGAAGATAATATGACAGTGATCGGGGTGCATCAATGGCAATTGATTGGTCGCTCGCCAAACTGTCACCCATGTCTGTTTGGTCTCTCTTTAAGTTATATGTACCGTTGGAAACTCTCTCGAAGGAAGAATAGGAAGAATACAAATTTATCAACAACCAGTGACTTGGGCCAGTTAACTACAGAGAAGCGCTTCTATTAGGAGCATTTTACTTTAATGAATACTACAGTAGGTTTACGTTGCATAGTTTGTATCCGGATATGTTTCAATGTATCTCATCAGGTGCATACTACAGTTTGTATAATATTCATGATCACAATAAATTGATAAAAATTACCGTTAATAAGTTCATAAATGCTATGGTTTCTACCAAGGTAACGAATAAATCCTTTTGTTTACACAAGATAGGCTTCCGTCTTTGGATCGCAATTGCTTCAGCAAACTACGGTAAACGTGGATTGGTGTGAGTAGGATCAGGGAGAACGCAGTAGTTCGGTCGCACCGATTCCTTGCCTCAAGCAGATGACATGCAATAGAAGAAGCTGGTGTCTGACCGGTAACCTTCAAACTTTTTCCCATTGGTTGACAAAAGTGTCCACCCACAGTGGGACATGTTCAGTCACTTTCAGCCGAAGTTGTCGTTCAGTTCGGCCCTGGTAGGTGACCTACCACCCACACGTGCACAGATATAGGTGTGACTTGACATGAACTGGTAACGACTCCTTGACTGGGGGNTGTTTGATTGCCAAGTTGAGGCGGCGTGCAAAGCAGCTCGACTAGATCATCATCCGTGAATGTCGGCTGCGAGAAAACCTTGCATTTCGGGACGGATATAGTTAGTTGTTTTGGCTCTTGTACAGTATGACTTCATTTTACAAACGCCTTTAAGTAGCCATTGGACTGAAACACTTTGTTTAGTAGATCGATCTCGTCGCTTAGTGTGTTGAGTGCACACAATTTGCGGGCTCTATTGCACATCGCTCTCACTTAGCCACGTCTGTAACTCAGCGAGACAAAGCTAGTGAAGTATGGGTACTGGCCCAACTACTTATGTTTACGGTATACAAATCGCCGCACACTACCGTCTTGGCGTCTGGTTATCAGCAAGTCCAGAAATGCGAAGCCACTGCCACGTTCATGCTCGATGGAAAGCGTCATATTTCTATGGACGGAATTGAGTTTGTGAAAAAGGTTTACAGAGTCCTGTTCAGAGTTACTGATTACAAGAGTACGATCAGCATATCATCCGTTGAAATATGTTTGGCTGATGACATCGGACAGTTCATTCTCAATGCTTGCCATAAAGATCTCCGCCAGTATAGGTCCTGGTGAACCTACCATGGCAACGCCATCAATCTGGCGAAAATATCTGTCTTGGAACTTGAAACATACGTTTTCGATGCATCGCAGAAGGAGACGCTTCAGTTCCGTCAATGGAATTTTCACATTAACGTTTTCTTGGTATATTTAATTACAAATGAAACCTGTTTCGTGCAATGGAACGTTGGTGAACAGTGATGTCACGTGAATTCTGGGTAAGTGTCCATCTTTTATATTCCTCCTATCGAGAGAATCGGCTAATTCGAAACTATCTTTAATACTGTAGCGCGCCAGTGTGTTCGTGATTGGATTTAGTATTTTCACCAACCACTTGGATAGTGTGCTTTGGTCATTCATGAATTCGTTTCCTATATCGACTTTTAACTTAAAAACAAGCACTTTCCTTCCACCACCAGGAGTGTCTCAGTCAATAGTGGGTGATAATGAAGTCTGAAACTGTTAAGATTCAATTGTGTGTAGGGATGGTAAAGAATAAGGTGATCGTGCAACCGCGAAAACGAATAGAAAAGTTAATGAGCTGGTGTGTGTGTGTGTGTGCGTGCTTTATAAGTGTGAGCTCATATAACCGGAAAAAGGGCTTGCTAACGTCCCGTAAAACAACCTCAACCGCTCATCATCCACCAGTCGGTGGTGATTGAGTCACACTCGTGATTGTTTAATTCATGCTTCGATTTTGCGCATACATACATTCCCAAGTTGTCAGATAGACAGACAGAGAGAGAGAGAGTGATAATATTCATCAAGCTTATTAACGGTTACCGATTACTGGTGGAGCGTTCATCGAGGTGCAATAGTTGTGAGGTTCAATTAGCTATAATAACTATAATGAAAGTAGTGGTAGCAGAATTGGTTCTTCGTTTGACTTCAAACAGCAAACCGATTCCAGTCTATCTTCACTTTCAGATGAAGAAGATGACCGTCTTCACAAAAATCCCCGCGGACTGTGGAGTAAGTAGACAAATCATCATTAACTTGCAGTTACTTGTGACTGATGGGCTTGAATAAGTGTCTTCCTGATTTTGACTGACTTGCTTTTAAACAATATCATGCACAATGCCCAGTTCATCCGAGCTTTCATAAATTCGGGGTTCACTCTTGTTGTATCATCACTAACAGCCCATATGAAATTAGAACTCTAAAGCCCCCTTATAGATTGTATGTCTTTGTCAAAGAGTGCACACCAAGTTTACCGATTGAACATTAGTTAGAATATCGTCACCAATGGAGGTCAGTCAGTTCCCTTGAATCGTCAACTTATTAACTCTAGTCGAACACCTGCACCGTAAACCATGCAGGTACCAATTTAACGTTCTTAGTTAGTCCTATACTTTCCCGACTGTATAGTTGACTGGATTAGCTGAGGATTATGTGTGACGTTGGAGTTTGAAGGACATTCAGTTGTTATTGAATAGTGAATAATATGTATTTCATATGCACACAACCACACTCACACGCAGGCATGGACGCACATGGGCATTTTTCATACCTTTATCTTGTACTTTTTTGTTCATTCAGGAAAACGCACTGACAAGATGTCAACCGAAGGAAGTGAGTGCGACAGTGCATTATCATGCTTCCCCCTCACAGCGACAACAAAAACCACAACAACAACAGTTCTGGTCTCACCGTTTGCTTTAGTTCTATTGTTGAATTGTCGTCAAATAGAGGTCGGAACACAAGGTATTCAGGAGTGCTTTGCCGTGGCGAGAGCTTAGAAATGTTTAGTGAAAGGTATTGAAGTACATTTTGCACCCAGTCGAGTTTCGGCATCAGCACGTTGGATTCGTACTCGATACTGTACAATAGCGGCTACGGAGTCTTACCATAGATACCAGCAATGATCATGTGTAAAACCTAGTACGAAAACAGAGGGGACGTGGAAACCAATTCTTCCATCAGTTTTCACCTACAAATGGTGATAGTGTTCATCTGACTTTCGATTATGCAGCTTATAAGCATAGGTTTTACATTGCTAGTTACGGTCCTTCTGCAAACTAAAATGAGATCCACCTCCACCCCTAATCCAGAGTGATCCTTCTGTATATACACAGGATGAAAACACAGCGCAAGCAAGCGGTAGATTGAATCGTTTGAAGGTGTGAATGAACTGAAATCTATACGATCAAGAGTGTCTGAACGGTGACTAAAAACTCTTTTGCTCTCCTCGGAGCAAATGTCGCATACGTACAACTGGAGTAATAAATGGTTTGTAGCTTATATTCTCAAAGCTGAAGCTGTTAGCATTCTACCGCGTGTGACAGTTATTCATTAGTTTGTGGCAATCGAGGGAGTGGAGGGCTCACTATTTCGACCATGCAACATGAGTTGATGAGTTATGGAAAACAGATAAACACACGTACATATCCGTAATTTTTTCTCCAAAATTAGTCAAATAATTGTCTGGTTTTATCGTTTAACATTTTGAAATGTTATCTGTCATAGCAGATCCTCTGAATTGACCGTGATGAAAGGTTGAAGCGAAAAATTCTTTTCAATTATTCATAATCATGCTTCTGCTTTAGTACAGAACACAACATAGTAACAAATAGGATACTGGGGTACTGAATCCGTAACTGAAGGTTGACGTAAGAGACAATGATTACATTCGGTAAATCGGGCTGATTATACAGTCGATTTCTGACGTGATTCCTTGTGTGAATTTCATCTCCTATTGACTATGTTGCTGGCGCAACTTGAAGATTTGTAGAAGTTACTTTTGTGCAGTGGACTCGAACAGCTACTTTATCTGTAGTGTACCATGTGACTCATCTCATTTTCTTCGATGATTTTACTGGAATTTTGTCCTATTCGTAGTCCGGGCAGGTGATCTGAAAGTAGGGTTTATACCATAGTTGCAATCCCACTGAAGTTTGTTATGCCTGATAAACTGTGAAACCAGAAAAAGAAACGGATATCTCTTCGTAAAAATTAACGCATTGTCCCTCGTCTTTCAATCGCGATTTAACCACTCACCTCACAGTCCGTTCATTTTTGCTTTGTATGTGATCCCAGGATGATGGCTATGATGGTGAACTTCGGTTGGTTGCACATCAGTCCGTCTGTAGGGCTTGTATGGACTTCGTGGTCCCGATCACCTACTGGATGTTCCTAGGAATTGGAAAGATAAGCAACACAAGGTGCCAGTTCCGGGCTAGGGGATAGGAGAGGGGAATGGGGTAGTGAAATATCCAGCGCAAAATTAAGGCGATGTTTACGAGAGTGAAATCGCGGATCACAAACGTGAGCATACAACGTGTAGCTATCGCCTTCCATGTTACTAACACTATCGTTTCAGTCTTTTCAATTTCGGTTGTGGTAAGATCTACTGATTCTAAAAACTACTTGGGAAAATTCCTTACTTCCTTCCATTGGTATACTAGTTAAATAATCATTCCATTTGATCAATCAAATGCACTTTTAATAAACATGCGGGAAGTCATTTAATTCGTTTTGCTCCATGGATTCATTTGTCTTCTAGCTCCAAAGGTACTTGGTCGGGTGACCTGGAGTAAGTCATCATTTTTTATTCATGCTGATTCGGGGGTGAACCGATGTGATTTTCTTAGGATTTATCACAAATATGGAGCCCTCGGGACCGATTCATGCCAAGAGTAAGTGATTTGCATCTTCAATAGATTTGGTTAACAATGCCACCTTATTATTATTATTATTATCATTATGATGATTATTATTGTACTGCGTACAATGGGCTATCGTTTACAGGTAACTGAATAACTGGCTTATACGCTCTTACGTGCAGTTATCATCTATTACGTCCTGACTTGAGCGCTCACACGTGAAGTGTCGGGCAAACAGACGAGCACCTCAGGTTCATACATTGAAATTCGTGAGTCTTCCCAAGGAGGGAGACGTAATAATATCTGCTGAAAAGATTCAATACTCTAATAGATCTAAAAACGGAAAGAGCAAGTTTGGGCTGGATAAAACACCAAATTCCAGAGCTTCTTACCTCTCGAGAAGAATAAAAATTCAGTTCATTATCTTATCTGAAAAGCATGAAAAATAAGCTTACAGCAATCGAAAGGTAGGTGAGATATACAATATTAAAATCCTTCTCGGGAACACTGAACATCATGACCGATCCATTGTAGTTTAGAAGAAATACCCGAATTAAGATTTGCTCAAGGAACTGCGGAGATAAAGCCCTTGATTCATCAACCATTCAAAGGCGATTGGACATTGTCAGCAAATAATTGCACTGTATTGGGAAAGATTTTGATACAGTTCGTTTGGAATTTACTTACGCTAGCTCACCGCCACTTAACATACCCACCCAAGAAAAATTAGCCCTGCTGATCTTCTCAATGATCGTATATTCACTTTCCACTGAATTTTCGATACACGATACAGCAGCTGTCTCCAATGGGATTTAAGTGCATTATTCAGCACAAGTGGACTGGTGCCATAAAGGATGTCATCGTTGATCATTTAGCTGATAGAAGTAATCCATTAGAGACGGAAGCTATCTTTCGCACCACGTACCCCACTCCTGGCTCCTTTCTAAGTTGCTACTTCTCAACATGATGGCCACCACGAAGACGATAAGCACTCCATGATTTTCACGTGGTATGATTCTACAATGCAACTAGCTTACTGATCGCTGATTCTACGATCAACTTTTACTCACCTTATCCAGATCCATGTTACACAAACTGAACCTAAGCCAATTATATTTAGTTTGCACCATCTAGAGAATAAATGGTTGAAAACAATTGTCAACCACTGGTTATACGTTCTCACACATCGTATCGGTCATATTTGGGGATACCAGGAGCTCCGTTCTCCGTTTGCGGTTGACCACTCAGTACCAGTCCATGTTACAACCATGATTCTGAAAGAATGCTCTTTTGTATAAACTAATCTCAATGGATGTTTCAATGAAATCGGCATTTACTGATTAAATATGCAACTAAAAGTTTTCTTTCAGTACATCATTATCCTTTTTATTCATCAACAATATTCTCTACTTATGCAGTGGATGGAATGGTTCTCTGTTCGAAGGTTGATCAAATTGAGGGTAAGTTCGTACAACAAATGGATTGAATGAATGGGCATATCTGATTAGAATGTGTTCTACAGTTAGCGCATTATGCACATTCAGACAGTTCATATAGAATATTTATAGCAGTATACTGAACGTTCGGCTAAAACTCGCAATTATATACTGGCTACTCATAAGTAGCATGAATGCGATTATATATAAAATCGTAATCGGGAGACTGAAAAATGTATAAATTTTATTTTAATGAAAAATAAATAAATAAATAATAATGGTTAGTTATTCGATGGTATATCGCTCACTGATGTGCTTGAAACATGTTAAAACGTTCATTTATATGTTTGAGGGAGAAAATTGAAACCAATATCGGTACTGAACTTCCTCCAACTGGCACCACCTTTCCCCAACGGAGCCGGAAGCTGCCTCCAGTTTCCTCTTTATCCGGCTCCAGTAAACTTCCACATTAATCTGTGGTCACCTGTCCCCCTTCATAATCTACACTTTTTGAATACGGTCTAATCTACCTCAACAATTCTAGACGGATCACCGATCTTTTGATTCAGTGCTTGCATTTTGACGGAGCATATATCAGTAACAACTTTCAATCTTTCAAATACTCAAATCAGGCAATTCTTTCAATTTGTGATAGAAGTGACCGTATAGATGACTGCGGAGACATATTGAGGGCACGAAAACTAGTGGACTGAACAAAAATAACTTACTTAGATATTGGCTTAACATATCTAAAAATTCAATTTGTTTATCACATTTTTCATGGGAAGTATCTATATGTAAAGATTATTGAACTTGACAAGAAAATAAATATTTCGGCCTGGGGGGTGGTTGATGATCGGATCTACCAACAGTGTATATATATATATATCACTTTTATTCATTCAATACTGAAATTCAATGTCACTAACATTCCAATGACAATAATCATGATTACCTTGTGCATTCAACTTCACATTCAGAAGAGTCTCCTGCATCGGAAGATCCTGACAAACGATCGGACTTGACAGGTGAGCAGATTATGCATTGAATGAGAGTGGCGGAAGATTTTAATTAAGTAAACGGTGAATTTAATTTGGTATTGTTTACTGAAGATCGATTTGATTTGAACTGACCATCCACCCGTCTTCATCTTCAAGCACAATCCTCAGTTCATCCAGTCAACCGTACATTCGGGAAGCATTAGACCGGATTTTCGTTTACGTTATTCACCTCTCCATTCTGGCTTTGAACTCCGGAACCATCGTTTGGAAAGCGTGTAAAGCTCACAGTGAGGTGCACCAGAATTGCCAATACATGTTCGTGCAGATGTTTTTTGACCCGACAGTAACGGATAGGACAGAGTTAACGAAAAATTTAACTCCAATCGAACACCTCCAACCAAGTCAGATCTACCTTGCCGGTGTGGATTTACTGTCACAATTGACCTGCTACGCCACAGTTTTTTTTATTTGCATTATCCTAATATTGTTTTGGTCGCTGTTACGCTACTCATGAGTAGCCTTTATTTTGATAAAAAAAATTGTCCACATTCAAACCACTTTTATGTTCATATTTGTCGTTTTTGTAACTAACGCATGAAATGGCTTACAGGATTTACTCGTACGACGGTGTCATATATATGGCATGGATAATTATTGTGCGATTTTTATAAAGGCGATCATTTTCTTATTTGATGGATTTGTTTGATTTGTTTGTATCAGAAAGTAATGAGAATGGCAAGTAAGATGGTATTTTTTTCTGCTATCTGAACTTGTACAAAGCATGCCTATAGACTGGTATCTGATGTTAACCTAGACAATAAGTTGATCAACAACAACTGGACTATGAATTTACAACTAGTAGACCGTGTCTCGTGGTTACATCGTAATATAGCTTGCGCGAAAACGTAAATGCGTACACGGACACATCTAGAGTTCATGCTTATTACTACGACCTACCAAACGTAGTTAGAATTACTTTACTCGACCGGCATGATTTCGTGTGCTAGTCGGGTGGCAGTGGCCAGCAAGTTTTAGTCACCTACTTATCGTCCCGAAGTTGTGTGTTCGAAACCCACCTCCATCGTTTAAATTTCCCCTTGTTTTTGTATAATGCGGCTGCCCTACAAAGGATAGCTTCCCTCCCCTTGAAAACTGCTTTTGCTAGTATTTATTCAATGTAAAGAAATGAAAAGCATCTACAATTTTGGTTAGGAAAAATAAGAGGATCATGTGATTTAGTCAAATTGCGCATAACTCAGTACACGATTAATGTAGAACTGTTGATTAGTCGAGTCTCGGAGGGATCCTATCCATTCCAATGGATGCGAAACCATTAAGGTTTATAGTTTGCCACCTTTTGAAATATGAATGTAATACCTGTAGAAAAGGAATCAAGTAGATGTTTCATTGAAACAATACGGCTATCGAATGCGACGCAAAGAAACAAATAAACTTTTGTCACATCATGGTGGCAGTTCATCCGAGGAAAATATTACGACAAATAAGGTCCAGAATATTCAAACGAGCCCGAACACTGGAAAATACTAAGTGCTTTGGTCGGCCGTGACTAATAAGGTGCATAACAGATAGTTTGAAAACACTGTGATTATGTCCCGATAAAAGCAAACATGTGAAAACAAGGTGGATTCCTTAGTTGTCGACCATCAGCTTCAAAACGGTTAGCAAATGTTTATTCCGAATGCTACACTGAGCAAATAGTTATATCGTAAGACAAGTAAAAAACTCACTAGAAAACGATCATGCATCCTGGTATCCGGTGAGCGATTCCGTTGATTATTAAGATCGATCAATCTAATCTGAGTATCTCCGTGGTTCCACGACCGCCAAACTTAGCTGTCATCCTATACAATGTCATAACAACTCTTCATACTGAAATAGCTGAGGGGATATAGCTCATTTTGGCAACTTCCATGTCACTGAGATATCAGCCACGCAGTATTCAATTGCAGGAGGACTAATTACACATCAATATAGGCATTTGCAAGATTTCAAAATGAGCCGCTTGCATTGGGAATAGTAAGGCATGCGGGACAAAATAAGATTATAGAACCAAGTAACAGTTCACAAGCAATGCAGACTGATTCGTCTGGATTTGAAGTTCACGAATAATAGAAATACGGTTGCAAAATCAGACTCGAAAAGATCGGCACAATGAACAACTCGCCATAACATTTGTCTCTTGGTTGAAGCAAACGAAAATGGAAAACTATCAAACACATGGCTTTGCACAAAGCCCGTTATAACTGACTTATATGGTCCTTAGAATAGAGAATAGGGAAACGCGTATGTACCAGTATAGACAGTCTCACTTAGATCCATTCAGTGTGGAGACAAACGGTAATCTTAACAGGTAGGCTGGTGGGTGAAGTTGATTTTGCTGCCTGCCATTCCATCATTCGTCCGGAAACCGCTTTCATAGAGTAGGATTTTGGGCCAGTTCGCAACTTTCACAAGACCCCAAATTGGTTGCTGCTTCTCAGTATCACTACAATCTACTAGCAGTCCAGATCGCAATTGAACTTAGACTTTCAGGATTCTGTTAACCTAGACCACAATTCAAATGGTTTTTGATCGTTGTGTGATTTATTGGTGACTCTCAATCTCAATGGCAAAAACCCAATAAAAATGTGATCTCTAATCCTGTTTAAAGATTTCTCTTAGGTATCTGGTATAGAAATTCGGTAGGGACACAGCTTTAGCTGCAGTGAATAAAATTGAGGTCAAAATGGATAATATCTTTCATTATACATCATTGTGTGAAGGTCGGCAGAAGAGAGTAAATCGGTAATCACGAGGATCCACTGATAATGATCGTTGACCAAATCCCGGAAACTTGGCGTGTCGAACCACATAAATGGGTTAAGGGTAATGGTTAGCTGGATGTCATCGAAGCTACTTGACACTTCTGTTAGTTGGTTGTGACAGGGTTCGAATTTCGGATCTTATGGTGAAAATCACGCGACCGAAACCTGAGGTTGTCTGCGGTTTCGCCATTTCAAATGGGTTTTAAAATACAGTGAAAAACTAGCACTGAACTGGATTCTGTCACGTAATTTATCATATCCATCCCTGACGTTCTTCTCAATCGTTTTCTCGAAATTTATATTCAGGGTTGATGAAAATCTATCGGTTGATTGCTCAGGAATATTTGAATTTTCGACATATTTGAGGTTTTTACTAAAATGGAATAATCTTCTACGAAAGCGAACACAAACAGATTCCGGTATGGGTGACCAACTCTAAACTATCCTGTATCCAAATATATCTCTAACGGTAACTAGTAGTTAGCTCAATACTGATGCAGAACTTCTGATATCCATGCATGGAGTGATGCGTGCTGAGATATCGGAAAAATCTCCACGGGGCTTCAGATTTCATTGAAACTGAGTAGTAGCGTGACATAGTGAAATATTCATCCCAAAGTATTTTGTGCTAAGATGAAGCCTGAACAGTGGGCAGTCTAAAGAGAAAATTATATCTACCGCCGATGGCTCTGCTTTTCTGTCTTCCTTTTACTCTCTCTAGCTTCATTTTGTCCTCCCGTGGTAAGCAAAATAAAGCTCTCCGCACATGTTCCATGAAACTGCAGCGATGTCTTCCGTACGATTGATAGGCAAATATCGCTGAATACCCTTTCATTGGGTGGCGTTAATCTACCTATGATTATACTCCTGGTCAATTACTTCGCCAACCAGTAGCGGTTCACACATTACCAAGACCCTTACATCTTCGCTGTTCCTTTCCTCGCAAAGTGTACTTCAACGTACTATTTTATTGCCAATTTTATTTTTGCTTGCATTTTGTCCCGACTAAGTTTATATGTCTCCTGTTATCTTCGTTGGTCTATTCTCCAAGGACCGTAATCTCATCTCCCGAACCCGTGAGTTTCTATCGGTATGCATTCATATCTATCGGCAAATCTGGTAGAGTGTGTTGTAACACCCATTCAAAGCGTGTAAAACATTCCTTCATGAGATGTTGTCCGATTGCTCTCATTCCCTATATCCTGCCTGAGCTGGGTAATTGCCTTTCCTATTTATTTACCTGTTCTGGCTATAAACCTGTAAATATACGCACTGAGGTTTGTATAGGTTCTGTTGTTCCTGTGCTAGGTAGATTTCTCTTCAGCTCAATGCGCGTCTCATCCAACCTGTGCATGATGCTACTCCAACCTGATCTTAAATCTCATGGTATGCCGTTGGATTTTTTGTGGTTGTTGTAAATTACTGTTTGTTTGGCACAGTGCCTATGTGGTTTCTGAATATTCACCTCTCGGGATGCGTAAAGCGTTTGTTTGGCTGTTGACTTGATTTTTATTCCCATTTAACTGTGATTTAATGATTAAAATGATATAGTATTGCAGTCTCACAACCCAAGATAAATGTCACCACCCAGTGAACAATGGCGTTTAATGAACTTCATGATAAGTGGAATGTCCTCCAGCCGCATAGTAGTCCAATAACAGATTAAGTTCATTTTAACGCAGTGAGCAATTACACACATCAACATGGCAAAAATGAAGCAGAAAAGTATTCTTTAGAGGTCGGAATAAGCTATTGATCGAATTGTGAACCTTGAAGCGGATTTGGTTTTTTGTTTCACAATGTTTAATTTATCCATCAGGCGAAAACGATATCACATGGCAGTTCGATCCGCGGTTCATGTGGTTGACTCGCTCAGTGATTATCGTCCGATTCACGTGATTCATTTTACTCATGCCATCCCCAGCATTCATCCCCCACTTCCTCGGCTGTACAGATGATGTGTATCGCTTTGTTACAATGTTTTTGATTCCAGAAATCAGTAGAACCCTGAATCAGTCGGCCCTATTCCCCGCGTCAAACTGTGAACCAAACTATCATTTGTTTGTGCTTAACCCTCGGAAATTTCAGACGATGGAGCACTTGTGGCCACACTTACCCCACATCACCATTCACAAGTAACTGAGGAGTAAACGTGAATTGAAATAACCGAGCTTATTTAGATTAGTCGTGCAATTCAGTTCT